AAAGTTATTTTCTTTTCTCTTTCTTTCTTATACATTTCTTTTAGTTCTTAGCACAATTACAGCACATATTAATGGCATATAATTAATATTTCTATGATGTATTTATGATTATATTATTTATTCTATAGATTTAAATGTCGTGGCATTGCACCAATTTATATCACATCTACTCAGTAAGGTACACGTCGAGTGCTTAATATATGGTAATATGACTGTAACGGAAGCTACAGATATATTTAAACTAATTGAGTCTAAGTTGACAACTGGGGTGCCCGACATAGAACCATTGTTAAAACGGGAACAAGTAATACCCCGTGAAATTAAACTAGAAAATGGTAAGCGTATAACGTATAAAATTTCGTTTATGATATTATGAAAAAATTAATATGTTTACGCCGATTGTACTTACTTTAATTTTCTCACGGAACAAGAAGGAAATCAAACTCAAGAATTTAAAGTGGCCTTCGGTTTTAAAAAATGTACATCGAGAATATTAAAGGGACAGTTGGAAATATTGTCTGTACCACATGATAGGGTAACTCCGGGAAATACGCCGCGCTGGGATTTATGTCCCAGAAGTCAGAAAAAATAGAAGGAGTGGGGGTAATTTTCCAGCAACTACACTGTTGCATGTCTTTATGTTATGTTAGTATTTTATTATGATTTCAGTTTCTTACTATTAATATTAATGAAATTATTGTAAGTTGAATCGATTTGTCACTACTTTAAGTAGAACCAACTTAATTACAATAAACATAAAATGATTACTGTAGGACGCGCGAAAGATTTAATAGTTTTTCGTGATGCATGAGTGTAGAAGAATAGTATAGCATGTTGTATAACAAAATACATGTACTTTGCTCTTACATTTTTTGTTTAGTTTGTTTAATACCGGCATATATTTTTGTCTTGTATATCCTACCTGTTTAGGATACGTGGCATTTTTAACGGGCGAGATTTGTGTCCAAAGCATACCAAATGCACAGATTGAATTCAATGCACTAAGTACAATAAACGCATTACATGAAATATGTACCTCATGTCATAATACTTTTAATACATGTGGCAAGATTGTAATTATTATTCATTACTTCATATACATGTTTATCATTCTTATTCCTTAAAAAACTTTATAAACGCATTTTATAGGTCATAGTGTCTTTTTACGTCTTATTTATATGCATTATTTGTAAATTTTTTATGAGCCACACGTACACCTCCCCCCTCACCCTATGAGTAGCAATACATTACACCCTACGGGATATACGGAAAAATGCAAGGGTTCAAAGGGTTCATTTTTTAATACGAAATATAAATATTTCGAATTTCTAATATTTTTCACATAATATTAGACAGTACAAAGTTTTTACTGATACAGATGTTTACTTTAAATATAGAAAATAATACTTAATAAATTAAGATTTTGATAGGTGCAGCGTATATACCGGAGTTACCCTAATATGCACGGATTACACATATATGTACGTTTTATTTTGTTTCGGAAATTCTAACTTATATAAAATGTTATTTTATTTGATTAAAATGTGAATGCATCAATGAGCTCAATGTTTCAAACACCTAATACCTGCAAGCGCACACGAACTGTTGGTAAAATCTTTTAGTTCAAAGTTTTTCTCGGACAAGTTTAGTCGGATCTGTTCTTCCATAAAATGATTTTCCGAAGCTCGAAATCGAACCTAACTTTTCACGACTGCTTGAAATTGGTCTCCATTCTACTGCATGGATTTGTTTAAACCGAAAGGAAAGTAGAGAGGAGAGCAAAGCTTTAATTTTTTTGTTTAAAGTCAAAATAACGTTGATACAATCGGTCTTTAAAGAATACCAACATTAAAAATTTTAGTATTTCTAATTTCTAAGTTTCGTATAAATGCAAGGTTTATTGTAGAAAAAATACAAAAATATGAAAATGAACAACCTAATCTATTTCAATATAAAACTGAAATTTGTGGAAGTAACAGAAAATTCTTTGTTATTGAAGTAACATTTATTTATCTATAATAAAATTTTTATCTTTGAAATTAGATTAGGTCTTAAGTTAATATTGTCTATATGATTTAATATGTAACAATTTATAATATCATGTAATATCTGTTTACAGATTGTCATTTTCTGTTTGAAGCAGAAAATAATGTCCATAAATGTTCCTGTACAATGGTATATTATCCAACTGGTTTACAATCAACAGAGTCGAATATGCTCTTAGAGCTCTTAGCTCAAATTATCGAGGTACCTTGCTTCGATACTTTAAGAACTAAGGAGCAATTGGGGTATGCTGTATTTTGTGGTCCTCATAAATTGAGTGGAACGCAAGGCTTACGAATCAGTATAAAAAGTGATAAACACCCGCAATATGTCGAAAAACGAATCAATTCATTTTTAGACTCCATGTTGGTAAGTATAATAATGTCTTACATGGTAAAAAATATTGTGTATTTGTATTGCAATCCACTTATGTTCTCGTTAACCGTCTATGTTGAATTTTTTAGCATATTCGAGTGTTAATTTAATATAATGATTATGAAATTTGAAAATTTTTTGTTAAATTGATATTCAATGTTTCTTAGTGTTAAATGAATTATATGATATACATAATTTATGAGTAAGTGAGCAAGTAACATAAAATCAATGTGCTTTAAAACGTAAATTTAAAAATAAATGAATGAAATACTTGTTAATTTAATTTATCATAAATGTCAATTATACTAAAAAAATAAACTTTTGTTTGCAAACTGTATCAGTATTATCATTTTTATGAACGTTTTTTAATAAATGATATCCATGTTGTTTTCTAACACATTCATCTTATGTTCAATAGACACAAAAATTTGAGTGAACTGTTTGGGACATATGACATGTGTTATATTCCATAATCCATCCAATTCATAAATTTCCCAACATTGTATTCGATAATAGTACATATTAATGCATTGTTGATGGAACTACATTTTCTTTTTTTACATTTGTCACATATTTGATTATAATATTATAATATCTTATAATATTATAATCAAATATATTACTCCATTTTTTATGTAATAATAAGAGGATGTACTTTTATTAAAATTAATATTACTAATAATTACATTCCAGTATCACATATCTGCCATGACAGAAGAGCAATTTGATGAAAATAAGAAAGCTTTAGCTACATCATATTTGGGAAAACTAAAAATCTTTGATACAAGGTGTAACTTGTATTGGAATGAGATTCTGACCCAACAATATAACTTCGATCGAGTCAATATTGAAGTAGCTTACTTAAAGACGATATCACGGCAGCAGTTACTTAAATTCTTTAAGGTAATTAATTTACTTTTATATTCAAAATATATCATTTAATGTTATTCCGAAAAGAAAATGTTTCATCGTAAGAACAAAAAATATAAAACGATTTTTTATTAGATATAATTTTTGAGAAAAGTACTTTAGTAGTTGAAAAATCAATATAATACATCTATCATATAAAATCTCCTAGGAAAATGTACATAGTAAGGATCGACGTAAATTGTCAATACATTTGATATCCACGGTGTCATCAGAAAAGAGTTCACCTGACACAATCGAAAAAACTGCCGATTTATCAACTAATGAAAAAGTTAAGAAAATCAACGATATATGGTCATTTAAAAATAGTCAATCTTTGTATCCTCTAATTAAACCGCTTGAAAAAATATTTTCTCAGGAATAGCGTACGCTCTTCTAAGTTATAAAGAAAGTGACGAGGTAATAGTGAATTAAACGAATGAATTTACCTACGCATAATTTTAGAAAAAACTTGACGCATTATTTTAAAGAAATTAATAAATCTCTTGCCGTATTTAAGATAGTTCTTTTTTAAACTGACACTGCACCGAAAGTTTTCTCAAATATCTCAGAAATAATCTTCCACAATGGACCCTCCCAAATTCAAACAAAGAAAAAAGAATCTCATACTAGGGCGATTGAGAGTCGGCGTGGTAATTAGTACGTAAAATTAATTCTTGAACTTTTATTCCAATAATCTTTGAACGTTTCGACTCTCTATGTCGTCTTCTTCAGCAATACAAGCGTTACAAGACAGCGTTACGGCACTCGATTGATTTGAAAAAAAACTTCGACTAACTTAAAATTAGTGATTATATAATCACTAATTTCAATCAATTAAACGAACAATTGTTGTATTATTTTATTGACGTAAACAGGAGTAGTTTATTGTAATTTAATATACGAGAAAAAAAGATTATCATGCTTTAAGAAATGCTGCCGGTTAATCGAATTGAATGCAATGCTCCTCGTCCGGATTTGAATTTTCGAGAATTTTGCGCCCCTAACTTCAAACCATTCGACGCATTTAGAAAACTCATTAGTTGACTGAGCGCTCGCTGCTATTGGTATATTCTTCCAGAATTAAAAGTCTGATTGGATGTCTAGAATAATACACCAACAGGTGTAATTAGGGGCCGCGCGCAATCAAAGAAATAGAGAACAGAAAATAAGAATTTCAACCTATCAGGAACCACAGTACTGTGGAAATTATGAAATACGCATGATGGTGGGTTGAATTCGGAACAGCCAATTTAAGCATCAAATCAAATGTGATCGTGCGACACGATAGCATCGTGGCACCGTATAACTTAACCTGTCGCACTTCATAGGAGGCATCATATTAGGTTTGTCATCTCGCATGTTCCAACATCCAACATGCTCCTCTCTCTATCATAGTTTTTATTTATTCATTTAACCGTAAAACTATAATGGTATTACTTCTGATTGAGGTTACCGGTTGACGATTCTATTTTAGCCAATCACGATGGAGATGGTCCATGCTCGTTGCAACGTGATTATTCGCTAATATAGGACCGTCAATGGCAACCTTAATTGATAACCGGTGATATAAGTTGATTAGATCGGGCGAGTACAAGTGAGTGTAGAACTTCGAGTTGCTCCGACTATGCTATTCGTCAGATTCGTATCCGTCATCCGATGCTCCGATTGCTCCGATGTTTGTCACGCGCGCGTTAAAATACCGTGTGCCGCTCGTGTTCGCACAATCTCGCCTGATCTTCAGGTCCTACATTTCTTCGCAAACGCGAGTACGCCAATTGTCACTCGTCATCGTCCTACGTATACTTGACAAGAACACCGTTCCTATCATTCGCTGCGTCATCATTTGTTTACGTCGTTTATGAAATCGAAGTGGTTTAACACAATTGGCAATTTTGCGACTCCCTCAGTGGACGATTTCACGACAATACCGAAAGATTGTCAGAAGCTCTTCAAATTTCATTGACCTGTCGGTGTACTTATCCTCAAAACGGCGCCAATCGTAAAACCTGGTTTTATCAGTGTCATTTTTTTTCTTTTCAAGGTAATATAATATCATTGTGTAAGACAATATTGCGCTGTTTCCTCATTATGGAAACATCGTGCGAGATAGAGAGAGAGAGAGAGAGAGAGAGAGAGAGAGAGAGAGAGTGATGGGGAGGGAAGAGGAGATAGTATGATTTATCGTATGTAACGTATTTGCTCCGCGAAGCCATCACCAATGTTAGTAGTGGTGAGATTTAGGTATTATTTAATGTAGCATGCAGGGTCGATCTAAAATCAGACGCGCGCGCTTTCTTTTTACTATGGATTTATCGTGATTTATATGTAATCCTTTTCTTTAAATTAATATGCATTTACAAATTTTAACAACTAACAATTAAATATAGTAGTTGTTTAGCAAATTAAGCTTTAGGAAAAATGAATAATATTATTTATTTTAATCAAATGTATACTGTTGATAGTTTAATTAATATAGACATCTGAAATGCACATTTTATAGATATTACATCGCGATTAAAAATTCTTTATGCATGAATGTATATAAACATATATAAACATACATAAACATGTACAAACATTCATAAACATACATAGGTATATATGGAATATGTCCATACATGTTTATACATTTTTGTTTCTTTTGTAACATCATTGTTTAGTGTAATAGAAATAATAATGAGAAATCATCAAAAATAATTAAAACGATAACTTTCATATTGTTTGTTGTAAAAAAAATTGCTCATATAAAATTATGTATAATTTTATATGCAATTATATATGGGTAGTTGCTTTACAATTGTCCAAACCTGTTTTTCTCTAAAAGAAATAATGGAAAAATTATCCTTGTTCTTTTTATGTTTTCTCATTATTATTATTTTTATTATATTGTGGTGAATTTATTGCCACTACCCCAGCTGCAATTCAAATATAAACGACAGTTTTTTCTCTTATATAAAATAGCATATACGATTCCGCGAGGAATACAGAATATAGCTAAGTCCACGCGAAGGCTGCTCAGTTGTCGAGACAGAAAAAAGGACAACATAGAGAGACAGGCACGAAACAGTTATACCGATAAGCGTAAACAGCGACAGTGAAAGCAAGAATAATCAACGACGCGTTCTATAAACCGCATTTATCGGAACATATGGCTAATAATCTGACAAGGCAGTCAAGATCAAGATTACACATGCTGTAACCCGCAAGGGAAATAAGATGCAACCGCTGCATCTCGCGAAATAAACTAAACTACTAGATCGCGTATAATTTTAAACCGAGAATTCGAAACATCCTAGAACAGTCGAAAAACAAATCGTGTTTTCCAGGTGAAGTCGAATAAGAAATCTAGAGTGACACTTCTTCTCTGGCTCTTGTCGTGTTAAGTCGAGTAAGAAAGCGTGCTCGGAAATAAAGAATTTAATTTTTGCGTAACTGGAGTCGATCAATGACACTGGCCACACCATAACCATAGACCGAATCCCATAGTACTACCAAAATATTAAAGAGTAAGTTTACACAGAAAGAAGGACGTATGGACACGTACAGATATTTTCCATGTATAATTATGTATATGTTCGTGAATGTTCATACTTCACGTTTATGTATGTTTATACACATAATCGAGCATAAAGATTTTTTACCGCAATATAATTTTTATATTTTTTTTCTTTAAATTTGCTACGTACATATAAATACATCGACATTATTAAGTAAAGAAAAGCATTACAGTCATCAACTAAAATTATTTTCTAGTGATGTGTTACTTGATATGTGTTACCAGTTAATTTTTTTATAAAACGGCTTTTTTTCATTTATCTAAAGGTAAGTTTCCCCTTGTTCAAATTCATTTGTTTCAACTTTCTGTTATTTTCCTACTTATATAATTGCCATTTAATCTTGGAATAAGGAAATGAGATTCTAAGCATACTACACGTTTTTATTTTGCACCTGTGCCGTTAGAAAATAAATGGAAATTATTGGACTTGAGTTAAAAAATTTGGAATAGACAAAGACTTGACTTGAGGCTAGAGAAAATATTTTGTCTTAATAATAATAAACTATGGAAACTTAACTTCATAATCCATATACGAGTTTATATACTATTTCTTTTACATTTATACATACATAATTAATATATAGAGTGCAGCAGGGATATGTTTGAGCCATTTCTCATGATGTTGTTTACGAATCTGAGCAGTGTATATTGAACATTTAAAGATCATACTTGTGCTCTTGAGAAGTAGTCATGATTGTATAATGTAGTTTTCACCACTGCAAAAAAGATTGTTACAGTAAATTTGGTCTTACATTAGGACGTTGAAAATAACGGAATAACCCCGCTGTAGATTTAAAAAATTTTTCAGCATCATCGATGCATAGTGATATAATAGATTAACAAATTCATGCATTCTTAAAATACTTATTTGTATTTTCTTCATGTTTAGAAATCAAAATTTCTGAATCTGTTGCGTCGATGATCAAAATGTCGACTGAACGTGTGGAAAGGCGATGTGATGATATAATAAAACACGAATATGACAACCGATTATACAGAGGTTTAGTACTCACTAATAAAATGAAAGTTCTTTTAATAAGCGATCCAGTAACTATTAAAAGCGCTGTTGCAATGGACATTGACGTCGGTAATTATATTATTTTGCTATCTGCTTGATATGTCTAGCTAATTTCATAAGAATATTTTTATAAAATCATTCTGCACATATTCTAAATTACAAGACAAACATAAGCTGCAGTCGATTTGGACGTTCACATGCTTTAAGCGCTGGTAATCATCATTCTTTGTCGTTTGTTTGACGCAAAATAAAAATAGAAGAACGGAAAAGCGCCGAAAGCATTCAGATCGATCGCAGCCATATAAAGAAAATGGAAACCAGATCTTATGTCCTAAGCCTTTAGGCCACTATGTCAATATTTTGATTTTTTTTTGTCGTCTGTATACCTTTCATATCGCCACTTTATATTGTTAATATTGTTAACATTTTCTACTGGATTTAGTTGTGTTTTATAATGTGATAGAACTAACATATTTTTATTAATAATTCTCAAATTATTAATTTCGGAGTACAGAGATAAAATACGTATTACAGGCTTTATGTGCGATCCAGATGATCTACCTGGATTAGCGCACTTTTGCGAGCGAACGTTGTTCCTAGGAACGAAAAAATATCCTCAACAGAATGATTATATTCTATTTCTGTTACAAAATGGTGGTACGTGGACATCAACTTCAGATTTTGATTACACCTCCTATTATTTCGATGTATCTCCTGAGAAGTTAGAAGGGGCTTTAGATCGCTTTGCTCAATTTTTCATGGCGCCTCTCTTTACGGAAAACTTGATTGAGCGAGAACTAAATGCCATAAATTCAGAATACGAGAAATATTTATCGGATGATTCGAGGCGATTTGGGCAATTACATAGATCATCTGTGTGCTCAGATCATCCCTTTTCAAAATTCGGCGTAGGGAATAGAGAAACATTAAGCACAATACCGAAACAAAAGGGCATTAATGTTCGAAATAAACTACTAGAATTTTATGAAAAATATTATTCTGCAAATATTATGTCACTGTCTGTTCTTGGCAAAGGTACGATGATATAATTTATTGAATCTATTTATGACTGGAACATCTGAAAGCATTTACTATGTATTATATTAACAAATGTATTTTCTATTTAGAGAGTTTAGATGAACTCGAAAATATGGTAGTGAATCTGTTTTGTGATGTACGAAACAAGGAAATTAAAGTTCCAATATGGTCTGAACATCCATTCAAGAATGAACATTTTCGTACTATGTGGTACATTGTTCCGGTAAAAGATATAAGACACTTACACATTTCGTTTCTTTTACCAGACCTGCGTCAACATTACCGGTCGAAGGTAATATAATACACGTTTCTTTTGACTTTGATACTTTAAATGAATATTATATCTTATTGTTAGTTCTTTTTTTAAGTATAATTACAAAAGAAAACATTAAAACGATATTAGATATTTTTTTCCGCAATTTTTTGGTTGAATACGAGTCCGCTTTTAAAATTGTTCCATTACATTACAATTTTAACAAATTGACGTTTAAAATTGCAAGAAAGGGTTATTTTTAGATATTTTGTTATATTACAACTACGATATGTGATGTGCTGGTACAATTTCAAAAATCGGGGTCGTATTTAGCGTTCTAAATTACGGGAATGAGCTGCTTCGTTACAATGTTCGAAGAAAGGTCAATTTTTTTCGAATAGCGTTTCATATGCATACACACACGCACACACATACAGTGGCTTATGTATATGTATATATATATATGTATATATATATATATATATATACATACGGTATTCAATAAGTTTTGACAAAACGCTGATATGTAGATAGAGAACTAAACTGAGACAACAAGTTCTTTACCATTTTGCAATTTTCGCAATTTTCTTTTGAATCACCTATTGAGCAGAGTATCTATACATATAATCGACGCACAATACTATTTTAAGATATTTTAAGCACCTTTAAAAAAGTTTTTTAAGAAACATCTTTAAAATATTTTATAAAGAACTCTCAAGGAGACCTTAAAATTGTCTTATGTAATTGTCTGTAATTTTCCTTTCTTATTCGGCTATATTTTAAAAATTAATATCTTGTTAACTATTGCGATAATTGCACAAGGGTACAGGACTTTACGACTCAGTTTAGTCCGCTCTACATGTCCACGAACTCTGTTAGAATTTAACTATCGGACACTTTACATATAAGGTGTCCGATTTTAATTTCCTCAGGCAAATATCTCAAAAAGTATAAAAGATATAGAAAAATATTTCAAATAAAAATGGAACAGTTTCGAATGGGACGTATTTTTGTCATGTTGTTTTTTTTTTCTAGGAAGCACTAAAAAGATATGAAAGTCACCTCCGCTTTTTAAAATGGAATTTTTTTACAGTATATGATTCCTATAATTATTCTGCATATAAAAGTATTAAAGTAGTCATGTAAAAATATCAGTAAATTATGAGATATTTTATACTTTGTTCTGGCACATATTCACATAAAATGTTAATTAACTTTTTGATAGCAATACCGTTATTCTTCTATGATCAGACTAATGAGATGTATCAGTTGGTGGAAAGAAAACACACTAAGATGCTTTAAAAAAATATGTATGCAAAATGGCAAATTTTTTTAAATAAGCAACTATGTGTTTTCTTTCCAACTGTTTCATCTCATTACTCTATTCATAAAAATATTAAGGTACGATTATAAAAAGTTAATATTTTACGAGTTATTCGACATTTTATGCCAACACTGAGAAAAATGGTCTGGTTAGGTTAAACAGTAATTCTGATGGAAAATGGACGAATCAGAATTTTCTGGTTATGCCTATTAGGTTTCTAGTTGAGATAACTAGAATTCTAATTAATATAATTATTCTGGTAAAAATAAGAATTCTAATAGATTTTACCAGAAATATAGTATGAACCAGAATTCCGGTTATCTCAACTAGAATTCTAATAAATTTAACCAGAAAGAGAGAGAGAGAGAGAGAGAGAGAGAGAGAGAGAGAGAGAGAGAGAGAGAGAAATTTCTGATTCGTCCATTTTCAACCAGAAATTTTTTTCAGTGAATATGTGCCAGAATAAAGTGTAAAATATCTTATAAACTATTGGTTTTTTTGATATCACTACCTTAATACTTTTATATACAGAATAATTAGAAGAATTATATTGTGTAAAAAATATACAATTCCATTTAAAAAGATAGAGCTGACCTTCATATCTTTTTGGCGCCTTCACTGAGACAAAAAACAACATGACCAAAATACGCCTCACACAAAACCGTTACACTTTTATTAGAAAATTGTTTCCATATTTCCCATATTTTTCGAGATATTTGCCCGGGAAACTCAAAATAAAATACCTTGTATATGTGTGAGTGCGCGGGCATGTGTGTGTGTGTGTGTGGTGTGTATGCGGGCGTGTATATACATATATATTTTTTTACATTTGTTATTAATTTGTCAATATAGCCTACATTTTACGTTACTCATTTGCTTGGACAACAAGGAAAAGGCTCAATATTATCGGCCCTGAAAGCTAAGGGATGGTGTATCTCGTTAGCATGCGAATTACTTTATGTGGTCAGAGGCTTCAGTATTATGAATATCCGTGTCAATTTGACCGAAGAAGGTATTAAGCATATCGAAGATATTGTTCTAATGGTGTTTCAATATATCAATATGCTTAACTCGAAAGGACCAATCAAATGGATCTACGAAGTAATTGACGAAATAAATTATAATTTTATGTAGATTATCTGGAAAATTATGCTATCACAATTTACCAGACATTTCACTTCAATATCGTACCTGCTTAAAATTTTCTATAAAATACTATAGGAAAATATAGAATTTGTATAGGTTTTTATAGTTTTTAGTAGGTTCAATAGTAGCACACGAGAACAGCTATTGAAAATCTACAGTTAACAATAAGATTTTATGAGTATAATTTTCTATAGAATTTTTTATATTAAACTCTTATCAATTTTAATGATGTTTTATGTAAAATACCAACTTATAGATGCCTATGGTGTCCAAATTATGAAAGTCAAAATGTTCTTTATGGGAAACAACTTTATGATCGTCGGCTGACCAATTTGTTTCAATAGATTATCTCTTATAAGTTTTTATGGTGTAAAGACTGTCAATTCTGTTCTACGTGGAATTGCATGCATTTAGGCCAATATTACATGTAATATTGTCGTACGACAATTTTTCAAGTTTGTCGATTGGTTATAGGACAAAGAGGTCCGAGATCATCTCTGTCTTGCAGTCAATTAACACGCTTAAAAAATTGGCCTTACTACAAAAAATGGACGCATGTAATATTGGCCTAAGTAGTCTATCGGTAATAATAGGAAATACCCACTGTAATACTTATAGTACTTAGCTTATAATTTCTTTTTTAATTTCTTGGATATAATATTATGGTAGATAATTATGTAGGAGACGTCTCTTACCTTAAATTTTAATGAAATTATGCTCATTCGTCGCGTTTTTGCATGAAACAAAAGAACTGATAGTAAAATGTTATGCCTAGGACCCTCGCGAACCGAGATATTAAGCGTTAAAGTTGATGACTATTGAGATTAGGAAATTTGTCACATCGACTTAATGCAGCACTATGTGTGTACGGTAGGTAGTCCAGTGAACCAGTAGTACACTTAAACCATTGCGATATTTCGTAAATGCGACATTATCAGATTGTGCTGCTATCTTGCAGCGACTCGCATTTGAACCCCTCCTCGGCTCCCCAGTCGACTGGCAGATCGCGCCAAGGTCGGCTATGTAATGTCACATTTTAAGAATTTTGGGTTGCAAAGTAAATTTTTTTCGTAAGTTTTACGTATTTTTTATGTTTTTGTTGTTATACTTATCATTTTTTTATTGTTCATTAGTTTTATGTGCACATTTGGCTTTATTATTTTGTAAGCAATTTTTTCTGTTACATTATATTGCCTCATTATTTAGGAGATTATCGTCGAAAAGGCTAGGTGACCTACAATGAATCATTTTGACGTAGTGGACAATGAACCATGGTATATTGTAGACCATATAAGCTTTTTTACGATAACCTTCAAAATAATAATTCATTGAAATAATTATTTACAATACGGCCTCTCCCCCCATCTAAAATTTCAATAAAAATATATTCATTTGACGCGTTTTTAAAACGAAAAAAAAACGCGGTGGTCGGCCTTGTGAATCCTTACTACCTTATAATTATCTATTTTATAAATAAACATTTTAAAATATAGCAAAACCAAAATAATCCCAACAATTTGCAGTAAAAAACATGTATTAACATTCATTATTAAAAATAGCATGGTTCATTATTTAACACCCCTTGTACACAATGAACCATTTCTCGTTTTTTTAAATAATCGAAATTGTAATTAAACTTCAGGGATAACTTTAAAAAGTTATTATTTACAGTATGTAGTCAACTAAATTCAAAGGCTGTATTCAAAAATTCAAACCTTCAATTCAATAATTGAGAGAAATACGAGCCTCTGAAATTTACATGGTTCGTTGTTGGACCACTTACCCTACACATATTTTAGTCGGTATATGTCATTAGAATCGTTACCTCACATCCGATTTTAATGAAATTTGGATCTCATTCGAATCGTTTTTATTTAAAACGAAAGACCGCTTCTTGCTATGGGCTAGAAACCTATTTTAATATATAGTTTTTTAATAGTTTTTATAATAAATTTAAAAAATTAACTTTTCGCACATAATTTGTTTTGTAAAGTTAACTTTTCCAGTATAATTTCATTGAAATTGAAGGTGAGGGAAGTCTTTTAAATAATTACTTAAATTCACTTATACGAGAAATCAATTAGCATCCGAATTCTAAATTGTTTACACATGCGTGCGATTATAGCATAGGGTATAGCGTGTAGGATTACTATCCCACAGATCCTAGGCTATTAGGTTCGAATCCCGTTGATATACACTATGCGTTTTCAAAAATATGTACATGTGTATAAATGTTTGGCGTATCTCAAATACGTCTTGAATATATGATGTTAAAATGAGGAAAAGAGTATTAATTTTTTATTTCTTATATATTTACATCATAGTTGCATTTTGGTATCGAATAGGTGTTAATCGGATTCTAATGCCTATTTGAAACTATAGGGAACTATACATTTCTTCACATAGAAAACTATTAAGGATGGGGATTTACCGACTCAAAATGCTTATTAAAAACTATGGAACATTTTTTATAATTCTCTATAGCAAATTTTAAATACGACGTTAAATATGAAATGATATGTATTTTTGTACATTTGCAGGAATATAGAAATATTGACAATATGAACCGCCGTTTTAAAGGAAACATATCGCCTCATGATCACGTGAAATTTACAGCTCGAGCGTTGCAAAATTATCCTATGAATGAAATTTTGTGCACGCACATTGATTGGCGGCCGGACGTAATCGAGGAAATAATGAAATATTTGACGCCGCAAAATGTTAGGATTCACATAACTGCAAAAGAATTTGAAAATATAACTAATGAAATTGAATGTTGGTATGGCACTAAGTATAAGAAAGTGAAGGTATCCAAGAAAATAATGAACAAGTGGAACTCCCATCTCTTTAACGACGCCATGAAATTACCTCCCAAGAATATATATATACCATCTACATTTGATATCAAACCACTAACTAACGTAATTAAAAATGCTATTTTTTGTATTATTAATTCTTGATCAAATTGTGATACTGAAAACCAAAATCTCCATGAACAATAAACTATACAGTGAAATTTGATATGAAATAGAATTTAATTAATGATAGAGTAACTTATAATAAATAAAGTCTTTTTTTACACATGAAGAGTTTTTATGTAATAAAATCTATTCATATGAATAGCTTTTATGTAATCACGTGTGAAGTGCGTTTGAATATATATTTCTGTAATAATTTTACAAAAATATATGCTGGTATTGAGATTAATTTACGCACAGAAAGCTGAGAGATCATTATGTAAATAAGAAAAATGAGATACAATAATTTTCGCTTTGACTTGTTTTTGTACATGAAAGATCGTTTGGCCTATTGTATGCGATCTCATTATGTATACATTTACAAATTATTGCATATATTAACAAGTGTAAAACAAATTTTACAGGTTGAAAAGTTTCCCATTATTTTGAGGAACACACCATTTGTAAGACTTTGGTATAAACAGGACAATGAATTTCTTGTGCCTACAGCAAGCATGAACTTCCTTTTCTCTAGGCATGTATTAGTTGAATGTGAAAGATATGTTGCTGTTCTAATCGAATATGTAATACTGAAATTTTTTAAAATGATTTTGAATTATTCTGGCAACTTAAATGATTTTAATTATTAATTTACAATATGATGATATTAATAGATACTCATATGAATCTTAATATTATTTATATGTTGGTTATGACTGGAACTATTAAAAACAAATTAACTTAATTTTGCAATTATGGTTTTTAAAATATTGTTATTTAAAGATGAAAATGTAATATAATCTCTTTATGACAAAAAAATATTTTCTATAATTATGCACAATGTTTGTTTTGTCTCTATTTTATAGCCCATTTGCCTGTCAGAATCCAGTTTGTTTCAGTTACACTTATATATTTCTTAAGCTATTGCATGATTCTCTTAATGGATATATGTATGCTGCTGATTTAGCTGGTTTACAATGCGAATTTGGTTTTCATTATTTTGGAATAACTGTGAGTATATATAATAACAATAATAAAATATTAGGTATATTATTTAAATAAATTTGAATGTTTATTTAAATAAATTATTGTTCAATTTGTTATTAATATTAATAATATTTAAAACAAATGCCATTTCACATATATACATAAATTGATTATTCACAAATCATTTAGTTCTAATTTGTTATTCGTGAATATACTCAATTCTATTCCCATATATAATATTTATCAACTGTTTTATAAAAATATATTCATAATCTAAAAGCAATATCAATTCTTTTTATAGCTCTCTATAGATGGTTATTATAACGAACAACATGTAATGTTAGAAAAAATTATAGATCGAATGATAAATTTTAAGACTGGTCAGAAGAGATTTGAAATCCGAAAGGAAAAGGTACAATAAACATAATCGATATTTTTAATTTAATTACGTAACATATTCATGAAGAATTATTACAGTATATCAGGAGCTTAAAAAATTTCGCTGTTGAAGACCCTTATACATTTGCTATCAAATATCTTACAACCATATTAACAAAGCAAAGTTGGCTCCACGATGAATTAGTGGAAGCTTCTACCCGTAAGCATAAGAGCTAACTTGTACTTTTCATAAAAAATTATTTTCTTTTCTCTCTCTTTCTTACATTTCTTTTAGTTCTTAGCACAATTACAGCACATATTAATGGCATATAATTAATACTTCTATGATATATTTATGATTATATTATTTATTCTATAGATTTAAATGTCAAGGCATTCCGGCAATTTGTACCACATCTACTCAGTAAGGTGCACGTCGAGTGCTTAATATATGGTAATGTGACTGTAACGGAAGCTACACATATACAAAATATAATTGAGTCTAAGTTGACAACTGGGGTAGTCGACATAGAACCATTCTTAGAACGGGAACAAGTAATGCCCCGTGAAATTAAACTAGAAAATGGTAAGCGTATAACGTAATCAAATTTTATTTATGATAATTTGAAAAAATTAATATATTTACGCCGATTGTACTTACTTTAATTTTCTCACGGAATAAGAAGGAGATCAAACTCAAGAATTTAAAGTGGCCTTCGGTTTTAAAAAATGTACATCGAGAATATTAAAGGGAGAGTTGGAAATATTGTCTGTACCACACATGATAGGGTAACTCCGGTAAATACGCCGCGCTGGGATTTATGCCGCAGAAGTCAGAAAAAATAGAAGGTGTGGGGGTAATTTTCCCGCAAATACTCTATTGCATGCCTTTATGTTATATTAGTATTTTGTTTTTATTTCAGTTTCTTACTGTTAATATTAATGAAATTATTGTAAGTTGAATCGATTTGTCACTACTTTAAGTAGCGCCATCATAAATTATAATCAACATAAAATCATTACTGTAGGACGCGCAAAAGACTTAGTAGTTGTTTCGTAATACATGAGTGCGGAGGAATAGTAAAGCATGTTGTATAACAAAATACAAGTACTTTGCTCTTACATTCTTTGTTTAGTTTATTTAGTTTGATTAGTACCGGCATATATTTTTGTCTTGTATATCCTATCTGTTTGGGATACGTGGCATTTTTAACGGGCGAGATTTATGCCCACAGTATACAAAATGCACAGATTGAATTCAGTGCACTAAATACATTAAACGCATTACATGAAATATGTACCTCATGTTATGACACTTTTAATACATGTGGCAAGATTGTAATTATTATTTATTACTGCATATACATGTTTATCATTCTTATTCCTTAAAAAACTTTATAAACGTATTTTATAAGTTATCGTGTCTTTTTACACTTATTTATATGCATTATTTGTAAATTTTTTATGAGCCATACGCACCCCCCCCCCCCCCACCCTCCTCACCCTATGAGTAGCCATATCTCCCATCCCTATGGGATATACGACAACAATGCAAAGGTTAAAAAAAATTTATTTTTTAATACGACTTATAAATATTTCGGATTACTAATATTTTTTTCATAATAGTAGACAGTACAAAGTTTTTACTGATACAGTCCGTTTACTGTGTAAATATAGAAAATAATACTTAATAAATTAAGTTTTTGATAGGTGCGGCGTATATACCGGAGTTACCCTAACGTGCACGGATTACTTATATATGCACGTTTTATTTTTGTTTCGGAAATTCTAATTTATATAAAATGTTATTCTATTTGATCAAAATGTGAATGCATCAATGAGCTCAATATTTCAAACACCTAATACCAGCAAGCACACACGAATTGTTGGTAAAACTTTTAGTTCACAGTTTTTCTCCGACGAGTTTACTCAGATCTGTCCTTCCATAAAATGATTCTCCGAAGCTTGAAATTGAACCCAACTTTTTCACGACCGACTACTTGAATTTGGTCTCCTTTTTACTGTATCTTTTTAATGCCGAGAGAGAAGTAAAGAGGAGCAGAACTTTAAGTTCCCCTTCACGGAGAGAATTTTTTCTTAGAATTTACCCTGAAAATATGACAGTCGTAAAACAACATTGTATTTCGAAGAATTTTAATATAATTCTCTTTCATTCATTAATAAAACTACAATAAAGTATAAAATAAGTTTGATCAATTTTACTGAAGGTAAAAATCTTTAAAATATTGTATTGTATCACAGTCACCATATTTTCATGGTAAATTTTAAAAGAAAATTCTCTCCATGTTGTTTAAAGTTCAAATAACGTTGATACAATCGGCCGTTAAAGAATATCAACATTAAAAATTTTATTATTCCTATTTTCTAAGTTTCGTATAAATGCTTATTGTTAATTGTAATAAATGTTTATTGTAGAAAAAATATAAAAATATGAAAATGAAAAACCTAATCTATTTCAATATAAATAGAAGTATGTGGAAGTAACAGAAAATTATTTGTTATTGTAGTCATTTCTTTATCTATAATAAAATTATAATCTTAGAAATTTGATTGGATCTTAAGTTAATATTGTTTATATGATATAGTATGCAACAATTTATAACAACACGTAATATGTGTTTACAGGTTGCCATTTCCTGTTTGAAGCAGAAAATAATGTCCATAAGTATTCTTGTATAGCGGTATATTATCCAACTGGTTTACAATCAACAGAGTCGAATATGCTCTTAGAGCTCTTAGCGCAAATTATCACGGGACCTTGCTACGATACTTTAAGAAAGGAGCAGTTAGGATATGAAGTATTTTGTGGTCCACATAAAACGAGTGGAAGGCAAGGCTTACGAATCATTTTTAAAAGTGATAAACACCCGCAATATGTTGAAAAACGAATCAATTTATTTTTAGACTCCATGTTGGTAAGTATAATAATATCTACCACGGTAAAAAATATTGTGTATTTGTGTTGGGATCCTTATGTTCTCGTTAACCATTTATGTTGAATTTTGTAGCATATTCGAGTGTTAATTTAACATAATGGTTATGTTATTTGGAAATTTTGTGTTAAATTGATATTTAATGTTCCTTAGTGTTAAAATGTCATAATTTATGAGTATGTGAACAAGTAAAATAAAATCAACGTGTTTTAAAACGTAAATTTCAAAATATATTTATGAATAAAATATTTGTTAATTTAATATATCCTAAATGTCAATTATACTAAAAAAATAAACTTTTGTTTGCAAACTGTGTCAGTATTACCTTTTTTGTGATCGTTTTTTAATAAATGATATTCGTGTTGTTTTCTAACACATTCATCTTATGTTCAATGGACACAAAAATTTGAGTGAACTGTTTGGGACATATGACATGTATTATATTCCATAATCCATTCGATTCATAAATTTCCCAACTGTGTATACAATAATAGTACATATTAATGCATTGGTTGATGGAACTACATTTTCTTTTTTTACATTTATCGCACAATATCTTTTAATATTATAAACAAATATATTACTCTATTTTTTATATAATAATACAAGGCTATACTTTTATTAAAATTAATATTACTAATAATTACATTCCAGAATCACATATCTACCATGACAGAAGAGCAATTTGAAGAAAACAAGAAAGCTTTAGCTACATTATGTTTGGGAAAATTAGAAGTATTAGATACAAGGTGTGACTTGTATTGGAATGAGATTCTGACGCAACAATATAACTTCGATCGTGTCAATATTGAAGTGGCTTACTTAAAGACGATATCACGGCAGCAGTTACTTAAATTCTTTAAGGTAATCAATTTACTCTTATATCCAAAATATCATTTAATGTTATTCCGAAAGGAAAATGTTTTATCGTAAGAATAGAAAATATAAAACGATTTTTTGTGAGATATAATTTTTGAGGAAAGTAACTTTAGTAGTCGAAAAATTAATATAATATATCTATCATATAAAATCTCCTAGGAAAATGTACATAGTAAGGATCGACCTAAATTGTCAATACATTTGGTCTCCACGGTGTCATCAGAAAAGAGTTCACCTACCACAATCGAAAAAACTGCCGATTTATCAACTAATGAAAAAGTTAAGAAAATCAACGATATATGGTCATTTAAAAATAGTCAATCTTTGTATCCTCTAATTAAACCGCTTGAAAAAATATTTTCTCAGGAATAGCGTACGCTCTTCTAAGTTATAAAAAAAGTGACGAGGTAATAGTGAATTAAACGAATGAATTTACCTACGCATAATTTTGGAAAAAACTTGACGCATTATTTTAAAGAAATTAATAAATCACTTGCCGTATTTAAGATAGTTCTTTATTAAACTGACACTGCACCGAAAGTTTTCTGAAATATCTCAGAAATAATCTTCCACAATGGACTCTCCCAAATTCAAACAAAAAAATAGAATCCCAAACGCGAAATAGGACCGTCACCATGGCACGGTGTGCTATTTGTGGTACGAGATTAACACAAGGGATCAAGACATCAATGTTCTCTAAAGATGACAGAAGAACCCAGTGGATTAGGGCAGTTCGAGCACTGGGCAAACCAAATTGTAATCCGACAAAAATTCAGTGTTATATGTGACGTATGTTATATTGTGCATGTAAATTGGCTTTTTGCGATAAAGCCCGTCTTTCAGCATGCAAAAATAGGTAGTTAAAATCGACAAACTAATCTGTATACATGCAACATCATTTAATTAACAATTACGGATATTGTGATTATTACATTTCAATATTACCGAAACATTGAATGGCGCGCGCGTTATTTGCTATTTCCGGCTGGGACCTGGCGATGGCGTCCTTCCGGTCTCATGTCCCGACTTTCATTATAGGGACTGTAACCGCGCCGTTCGAGCTTATCGGTTCGTGGAGGTGAGCGGGGCGCTTACCCCACTCGCCGCGCGCCTTGCTATCGATAGCAGATATTCGGCGCTTAGAAATAATATCTCGATTGCAAAAATTGGGAAATGATCAAGAACTGTTCGAAAAAACTCAGTTTAGTTCGTTCTGAAGCATGCACATGTACATGCAGAAAAATGTTACATAAATATTACTTGTTTCAAAAGTAAATAATAAAAGAGTATTTTAAAATTATATTATCAAGAAAATATTCTTTGTAATGGTATAATCGTTGCTCAAAAAAAGAAGAATAAAAATTGCGTTCTCTCTTGACATTAGAATGATATTTTTCTGCATTTTTCTACACTACCCCTCATGAAAATTTGGACATCCGCATAAATTTCATCGAATGATCGTGTAAAAAATTAAGACATAAAACAGCAATTGTATTATTTTTGAAATATATTTTGAATCGCTTGTATGCTCATTATACATGTAAGAAATTGAAGATAATCCCATTAGTCTACCATTTTTTTTTCGATACGTAGATGACATTTTGTTTACGGCACACAAAAATGACGTAGAGGTAATCTTATTAGAATTCAATTCATACCATCTTAGAATTCAATTCATTTTGGAGACAGTTGAGAATGATGGTATCAATTTTCTGGATACTAAAGTGATGATCGATGACGGTAGAAATTACGTTTGATATTTATATAGAAAGCCCACTAATTCAGGAAGGTATTTAGGTTTTTATTCCAATCATCCAATGGAGCATAAAAGAGATGTTATCACAAGCCTGTCTGATAACATTTTGATATTATCGGATCCTGAATTTCACACAAAAAATATAGAAGACATAATCAATATACTATTACAAAACGGTTATCTATTACATTTTATTTTCTCAACAATTAATAACACAATCAATAATTACTCTTACAGACAATCTTTTCATAAAATAAGTGACGATGAATTGAATTTAAAAAGATATTTCACAATTTCATATTTCAATAAAATCTCAGATAGTTTCAGAAGCATTATAAAAAAAAAAGATTTAAATATAGCATTTAAACCGATTAACTTTCTCGGGTGAATTACTAAGGCGGGTAAAGATGTTTCAGATTCCAATTCTCGATGTGATATTGTATATAAAAATCAACTGCAACAATTGTGAAGCCGTGCGCCACCAAGCAAGGGCGGTTGGGGGGGAGAGTGACAGTCGCTTCGCGTGGAAATTGCCCACCCCTAAGCAGGGGGGAGAGAGAGGTGAGTGTCGCTACTCGTGGATGTGGTGCGCCTCCAAGCAGGGTGTGGGGGGATGATAGTCGCCAGGCGTGGAAGTCGTATTATTCATAAAAACGTTTTCATTAATATCTTTTTAATGAATAATGATCGACGGAAAAGATTAATGGCCTTGATCTTCTTAAAGATCAAGGTCAAGGTCACTCGGAGGTCATTTGGGGCTGGCTGTGTAAAGGAAAAGTTTTACCCGGACTATGAATTTCGCACGATCCTTGATTGATTTAAATTAAAAACTTCGAGTAACTTAAAATTAGTGATTATATAATCACTAATTTCAATCAATTAATCTAACAATTGTTGTATTATTTTATTGACATAGACAGGATTAGTTTATTGTAATTTAATATACGAGAAAAAAGATTATTTTGCTTCAAGAAATGCTGCCCGGTTAATCGAATTGAATGCAGTGCTTCCTCGTCCGAATTTGAATTTTCGAGAATTTTGCGCCGTTAACTTCGATCGAACCATTGGATGCATTTAGCAACTTCCTTAGTTGAATGAGCGCTCTCTGCTATTTGTATATACTTCCAGAACTAAAAGTCTGATTGAATGTCTAGAATGATACAGCAACAGGTATTATCAGAAGCCGCGCACAATCAAAGAAATAGAGAACAGAGAATAAGAATTTTATCATATATCAGGAACCACAGTACTGTGGAAATTGTGAAATACGCATGGATGAATTCGGAACAGTCAATTTAAGTATCAAATGAAGTTTGACCGCGCGACACGATAGCATCGTAGAAACGTATAGCTTAATCTGTCGCAGATCATATAGGAGGCATCATATTAGGTTTGTCATGTCGCATGTTCCAACATCCAACATGCTCCTGTCATAGCTTTTATTTATTCATTAAGCCGTAAAGCTATAATCGTATTATTTCTGATTGAGGTTACCGGTTGACGATTCTATTTTAGCCAATTACGAAGGTGGTCCATACCCGTTGCGACGTGATGATTCGCTAATATAGAACCGTCAATCGGCAACCTTAATGGGCAACCAATGATATAAGTTGATCTGATTGGCGGATCACAGCGGACCGCAAGTACAAGCGAGTTCGAGCGAGTGTAGAACTTTGTGTTGCTCCAACTTTGCAATTCGTCACATTCGTCTCCGTCCTCCGATGCTCCGATTGCTCCGATGTTCGTGACGCGCGCGTTAAAATCCCGTGTACCGCTCGTGTCCGCCTGCTCTTCAGATACCTACGTTTCTCCGCAAACGCGTGTACGCCACTTGTCACTCGTCATCGTATCATCGTCCTATGTATACCTGACAAGAACACATCTCCTGTCATTCGCCGCGTCATCAAATATTTATGTCGGTTATTAAATCGAAGTAGTTTAACACAATAGGCAATTTTGAGACTCCCTCGGTGGACGATTTCACGACAATATCGGGAGATTATCAGGAGCTCCCGTTCAAATTTCATTGACGTGTCGGTGTACTTTGCCTCAACACGACGCCAAGTGGCTTTATCAGTGTCATTTTTATTTCTTTTAAGAGGTAATACAAGATCTTTGTTTGTGTGTGTGTGTGTGAGAGAGAGAGAGAGAAAGAGAGAGTATGTTTTCACGTACATAACGATCTGCTCCGCGAAGCCATCACCACGATTAGTAGTGATGAGATTTGGATGACACAGTAACAGAAAAAATGGAAAACGATAAATTCGTGTCTTGTCCGACGTGAGGTTCTATCCTCGACGTTTCACGATGACATTATTTTGTCAGAATGACAAGAACTCTCTCGCGGAGAGTTGTACTTGCAAGTAAGAATACTGTCGCTTAGAAGTTAATTATTGACTACATATACTATTCGAGCCTAAGAATGGTAACATAAATTTTGAGACTACATACGCTTTATACTTTCTTTCTTTTCCTACATATCAGTTGCAATAATTGTTTGCTTTTGTAAGTTATTATCGTAGCTTAGTTTAATTGTTCTATTGTGCAGGAAAGATAAAAGAAAGTTTTATTCCAAAAGTTACAAGAGAGAGAAAAAAATTACTCTTGAGCAAAATTGATTTCAATACACAATTTTGGAGTTGAATTTTCATCATTCACATTTTTTATTTAATGTTCTCTATTTAACTAAAATTAATGTTTACTTTTACTTGCAATTACTTCTTTAATGTAACGTGCAGGATATGATCCGACTATCAGAAGCGCGCGCAATTTTGTTACTAAAGATTTATCGTGATTTGTATGTAATATTGGTTTTCAAGTTAAAATGCATTCACAGTTTTTTAATAACTAACAATTAAATATAGTAGTTGTTTAGCATATTAAGCTTTAGGAAAAATGAATAATTTTATTTATTTTATAAAATGTATGCTGTTGATATATTAAATAATATGCATATCTGAAATGCACATTTTACAGATATTACATTGCGATAAAAAATTTTTTATGCATGAATATATATAAATATATATACATACATAAACATGTGTGTACAAATTTCTTAAACATACATAAATATATATGGAATATATACATACATGTTTATACATTCTTGTTCCTTTTATAAAATTACTATTTAGTGTAATAGAAATAATAATGAGAAAATCAAAAATAATTATAAGGATCATTTTCACATTGTTTGTCGTAAACAAAATTGCTCATATACAATTATGTATGATTTTATATGTAATTATATATAAGTAGTTTTTTTACATTTCTCCAAACTTGGTTTTTTTTCTAAAAGAAATAATGGAAAAATTACCCTTGTAATTATTTTTACGTTTTCTTATTATTATATTTTCTTTATTATATAGTGGCGAATTTATCGCCGCCACTCTAGCTACAATTTAAATATAAACGATAGTTTTTTATCTTATGTAAAAGAATAGCACGTAGGAAACTGCAAGGAATAGCGAATATAAAATGTCCGCGCGAAGACTGCTTAGTTGTCGAAGCAGAAAAAAAGGACAACACAGAGAGACAGACACGAGACGAGCGTAAACAGCAGCAGCGAAAGCGAAAATGATCAACGACGCGTTATAAACCGCATTTATTTATCAGAGCATATGCCTAATAATCTAACAAGGCAGTTGAGCGCAAGATTACACGTGCTGTAACCCGCTAGAGAATTGAGATGCAACCGCTGCATCTCGCGAAAAAAACTAAACTGCTAGATCGCATATGATTTTAAACCGAGAATTCGAAACATTCTAGAACAGTCGAAAAACAAATCTTTTTCTCCGGGTATGAGGTCGAATAAGCAATAGAGAGAGGTGAACGACACTTCTCCTCTGGCTCTTGTCATGTCAAGTCGAGTAAGATAACGCACTCGGAAATAAAGACCTTAATTTTTGAGTAACTGGAGTCGGTTAATGGCACTGGCAACCATAGACCGAATCCCATAGTATTACCAAAATATTAAACAGTATTTTACAAAAAAAAAGAAGAATGTATGGACACCTACAGATATATTCCATGTATAATTATGTATATGTTTATGAATGTACATGCTACATGTTTATGTATGTTTATATAGGTACATATTCGAGTATAAATCATTTTTTATCGAAATACAATTTTTATACTTTTTTTTTATTTGAAATTGCTAGGTACGTATTAATACATCGACAATATTAAGTAAAGAAAAGTATTACAATCATCAACTAAAATTATTTTCTAGAAACATGTTACCAAATAATTTTTTTAAACGATATGGGCTTTTTTTTATTTATCTAAAGTTAAGTTTTTCTTTGTTACAACTTTGTATTATTTTCCTACTTGTATATTTGCTATCCAAATATGATGGAATAACATAATGAGAGACAAAGCATACTACCTGTATTTATTTTGCACTTGTGCAGTTTAGAACATAAATGGAAATTGTTGGACTTGAGATAAAAAGTCTGAAATAGACAAAAACTTGATTTGAGGTTAGAGAAAATATTTTGTGTTAATAATAATAAACTATGGAAACTTAACTTCATAATCCATATAAGAGTTTATATACTATTTTGTTACATTTATACATACATATTTAATATATAGAGTACATCTGGGATATATTATTTGATCTATTTCTCATGATATTGTTTATGATTCTGAGCAGCTTAGTATACTGAACATTTAAAGATCATACTTGTGCACTTGAGAAGTAGTCATGATAGTATAAGGTAGTTTTAAGCACTGCAAAAAAGATATTGGTTGTTGCCGTAAATTTCGTAATACATTAAGACGTTGAAAATAACGGAATAGCCCCGCATTTTTCAGCATCATTAATGCATAGTGATATAACAGATTAACAAATTCATGCACTCTTAAAATTTTTATTTGTATTTCCTTCATGTTTAGAAATCAAATTTTTGAATCTGTTGCTCCGGTGATCAATATGTCGACTGAACGTGTGGAAAAGCGATGTGATGACATAATAAAACACGAACATGAAAAACGATTATACAGAGGTTTAGTACTCACTAATAAAATGAAAGTTATTTTAATAAGCGATCCAACAACTGACGAAAGTGCTGCTGCAATGACCATTGATGTCGGTAAGTATATTATTTTGCTATTTTGTTCGATATTTCTAGCGATTTTCATGAGAACATTTTTCTAAAATCATTCTACATATATAAATTATAACAAATACAGGCTGTGCTCCATTTGAACGTTCACGCGCTTTAAGCACTAGTAATCACATTCTGTCTTTATCGTTCGGTAGACGTAAAATAAGAGTAGAAGTACTGAAAAGCGCTGAAAGCGTTCAAATCGATCGCAGTCATATAGAGAAAACCGAACCCGGATCTTATATATTCCATGCGACTGTTCTAAGCCTTTAGGCCACGAGGTCAATGTTTTGATTTTTTTTGTAGTCTGCGTATATTTCTCTTAACCACTTTATATTGTTATTATTTTTAACATTTTCTACTGGATTTAGTTATATATTGTAAAATGATGGAACTAACATATTTTTCTTAATAATTGCAAAGTTATTAATATCAAAGTTTAGAGATAAAATATGTGTTACAGGCTCTATGTGCGATCCAGATGATCTACCTGGATTAGCGCACCTTTGCGAACATATGTTGTTCTTAGGAACGAAGAAATATCCTCAACAGAATGATGACAAAATATTTCTGGCACAGAATGGTGGTTGGAGTAACGCAACAACATCTTCAGATTACACAATTTATAATTTCTATGTAATTCCCGAGAAGTTAGAAGGCGCTTTAGATCGGTTTGCTCAATTTTTCTTGGCGCCTCTCTTTACGGAGAACTTGATGGAGCTAGAACTAAAATCCATAAATTCAGAATTCGAGAATAATTTAACGGCCGATTCGCGGCGATGTTGGCAATTGCAAAAATCATCTGCGAGCTCAGATCATCCGTTTTCAAAATTCAGCACAGGAAATAGGGAAACATTAAGCACAATACCGAAACAAAAAGGCATTAACGTTCGAAATAAACTACTAGAGTTTCATGAAAAGTATTATTCTGCAAATATTATGTCACTGTCTGTTCTTGGCAAAGGTATGACAATAATTTATTGAATCTATTTATGATTAGAACATCTGAGAAAACATTTGCTATACATTAAATTCACAAAAGAATTTTCTATTTAGAGAGTTTAGATGAACTCGAAAATATGGTAGTGAATCTGTTTTGTGAGATACGAAACAAGGAAATTGAAGTTCCAATGGTGTCTGAACATCCATTCAAAGATGAACATTTTGGCACTGTGTGGTACATTGTTCCAATAAAGAATATAAGAAACTTAACCATTTCGTTCCTTTTACCAGACCTGCGCCAACATTACCGATCGAAGGTAATATAATATACGTTTCTTTTGGCTTTGATACTTTAGATGAATATTATATCTTATAGTTAATTCTTTTTTTAAGTATAATTACAAATAAAAACACTAAAACGAGATTAGTTATTTTTCATAATTTTTTGGTTTAATACGTATCCGCTTTTTAAATTGTTCCATCACGTTATAATTTTAACAAATTGACAGTTACAGTTGTAAGAAAGAGTTATTTTTAGATATTTTGTTATATTATAACTACGATATGTGACGTGCTGGTACAATTTCAAAAATCGGATTCGTATTTAGCGTTTTAAATTACGGGAATGAGCTGCTTTCTTCTTATGTTCGAAAAAAGGTCAATTTTTCGAACAGTGCTTTATATACATACTCACACGCATACACCTACAGTGTTTTGTATGTATATATATATATATATATATACACATACAGTGTTTAATACGTTTCGATAAAACACTGATGTGTAGATAGAGGACTAAACTGAGACACCAAGTTGTTCACCATTTTGCAATTTTCGCAATTTTCTGTTTATAGTTACTTATTGAGCAGAGTGGCTATACATATAATCAACGCACAATACAACTTTAAGATATTTTAAACACCTTTAAAAGTTTTTTAAGATACATCTTTAAGATATTTTATAAAGAACTCTGAAGGAGACCTTAAAATTATCTTATGTTATTGTCTGTAATTTTCCCCTCTTATTCGGCTATTTTTAAAAATGAATATCTCGTTAACTATTGTGATAATTGCAAAAGGTTAAATGACTTAGCGACCCAGTTTAGTTCGCTCTACATGTCCACAAATTATATTTGAAAAATTATCGGACACCCTGTATATAGGTTGTCCCATTTTAACTTCGTCAGGAAAATATCTCAAAAAATTTGGAAGATATAGAAAAATGTTTCAAATAAAAATACGACCTTTTCGAGAGGAACGTATTTTTATGTTGTTTTTTTTCTAGAAGGAGCCAAAAAGAAGGTCCCCTCCATTTTTTGAAATGGAATTGTATTTTTTTCACACAATATGTTTCCTCTAATTATTCTGCTTATAAAAGTATATTAATGTAATAATATCAAAATATTAATATATTATGAGATATTTTACATTTTATTCTGGCACATATTGTCATAAAATGTTAATTATCTTTTTGACATCTCTACCTTGATTCTTTTGTGAACAGAATAATGAAATGAGTTGGTGGTAAGGAAACACACTAAGTTGCTTTAAAAAAATATTTATGCAAAATGAATAATTTTTTTAATAAGCAACTATATGTATTTTCTTTCCAACTGATTCATCTTGTTGCTCTGTTCATAAAAGTATTAAGGTACGATTATCAAAAAGTTAATATTTTACGAGATATTTAACATTTTATGCCAATATCTGTCAAAATAAAGTGTAAAATATCTTGTAAACTATTGGTTTTTTGATATCACTACCTTAATACTTTTATATGCAGAATAATTAGAAGAATCGTATTGTGTGAAAAAAACATATAGTACTATTTATAAAAGTGGATCTGACCTTCATATCTTTTTAGCTGAGACAAAAAACAACATGACCAAAATACGTCCCACTCAAAACCGTTCAATTTTATTAAAAACTTGTTTTTATATTTTCCATATTTTTCCAGATATTTGTCCGGGAAATTAAAATACAACACTTTGCACATGTGTGTGAGTGTGCGCGCATGTGCGTGCGCACAGACAAGCGAGTGTGTGTGCGGTGTGTTGCGTGCGTGTGTGCATATGTATGTTTTTATATTTATTATTAATTTGTCAATATAGCCTGAACGTTACGTTAGTCATTTGCTTGAACATGAAGGAGAAGGCTCATTATTATCTTCTTTGAGAGCTAAGGGATGGTGTATCTCGCTGACATGCGGACTAAGTTATTCCGTCAGAAGCTTCAGTATTTTCAATATCGAGACCGATTTGACCGAAGAAGGAATTAAACATATCGAAGATATTGTTCTAATGGTGTTTCAATATATCAATATGCTTAACTCGAAAGGACCAATCAAATGGATCTACGAAGTAATTGACGAAATAAATTAACATTTTATGTAGATTGCCCGGAAAATTATGCTATCACAATTTACCAGACATTTTGTACTTCAATATCGTACCTGCTTAAAATTTTCTATAAAATAATATAGGAAAATATAGAATTTATATAGGTTTTTATAGTTTTTAATAGTTTCTATAGTAGCACACGAGAACAGCTATTGAAACTCTACAGTTATCAGTAAGATTCTATAAGTATAATTTTCTACAGAATTTTTCATATTAAACTCTTATCAATTTTAATGACGTTTTATGTAAAGTACCAACTTACAGATGCCTATGGTTTCCAAACTATGAAAGTCAAAATGTTCTTTATGGGAAACAACTTTATGATCGTCGGCTGACCAATGTGTTTCAATAGATTTTCTTTTATAAGTTTTTATGGTGTATTTACTAGAGACTGTCAATTCTGTTCTATGTGGAATTGCATGCATTAGGCCAATATTACATGCGTCCGTTTTTTATCGTACGACAAATTTTTCAAATCTGTCGATTGGTTATAGGACAGAGGTCTGAGATCATCTCTGTCTTGTAGCCAATTAACACGCTTAAAAAATTGGCCGTACTAAAAAAAACGGACGCATGTAATATTGGCCTAAGTGGTCTATCGGTAATAATAGGAAATACCCACTGTAATGCTTATAGTTTTTAATACTTTTTTAATTTCTCGCATATAAAATTATGGTAGATAATTATTTAGGAGACGTCCCTTACCTTAAATTTTAATGGGATTATGCTCATTCGTCGCATTTTTGCATGAAACAAAAGAACCGCGATAGTAAAATGTTATGCCTAGGCCTCTCGCGAACCGAGATATTGGCCTAGTTTACATCCTACGTTTAGGCCGCCACCTATACTCTAAATCTAACTTAAACACGACAGGTCGCGACGGTATAAATAGTTATAACCTCACTTATGGCCCCGGCACACCAGCGCGATGTTCATCGCGCGCCACACGCGATATCCAATAAGAGTATACCTTTAGAATGAGAATATCAGTAAAGCTGTACACTCATTGGATATCGCAAGTCGCGCGCGACGAACATCGCGTTGGTGTGCCGGAGGCATTAGGTAAAGGATCTTTTTCAAGATCCCTGACCTTTCTTAGGCTGCACGACCTACCTAGTTTAAACGCATGTAAACGCAGGCAGACGGCCTAAAGGCGTAAAGTGTACTAAAGGTGCGTTCCGTATCGCGCATGATGCGCATGATGCATCCATTGTCCTTGTTTAACATTTGGTGAGTAACAAGGATAAACGACGCATTATGCTCATCATGCGAGATACGGAACGCACCCTAAGAAACTAATAGATGGCTCTATTTCATGTTTTATAATGTGCAATAAGCTACGTACGTAGAAGTGGATTTTATATTAATGAATTTTATATTATAGGTCTATATTGGGGTAAACGCTCCGTTCGAGACCTGTCTAATGCGGGGTCTACAATAGAAGTCGTGGCAGTCGTAGGGTCTTAAGTCGTAGAAAATTGACCAATCACAGTCGAGTATTCTTCTCATATTCTACTGTGATTGGTTAATTTTCTACGACTTAAGACTCTACGACTGCTACGACTTCTATTGTAGACCCTGCTTTAGGTGGGGTAAAGGTCAGGGTATAGGTCAGGTCGTTGGGTGTAAACTAGGCCATTAAGCATTAAACTTGACAACTAATTGAGGTTAGGATATCTGTTATATCGACTTAACGCAGCACTATGTATGTACACATATTTTAGTCGATATATGTATTCAGAATCGTTACCTTACCTCCGATTTTAATGAAATTTGGCTCATTCGAATCAATTTTATTCAAAACGAAAGACTGTTCTTGCTATGTGCGAAAAGTTAACTTTTAATAGTTTATAATAATTTTTAAAAATTAACTATTCGAAAATAATTTTTTTTGTAATGTTAACTTTTCGAGCATAATTTCATTGAAATTGAATGTGAGGGACGTCTTTTAAATGATTATTTAAATTTACTTATACGAGAAATCGATTAACAGTCGAATTCTAAATTGTCTACACATACGTGCGGCTACAACTCAGGGTTAGCGTGTAGGATTACTATCCCACAGGTCCTAGGCTATTAGGTTCGAATCCCGTCGAAAATCAATGTGCGTTTTCAGAAATATGTACATGCACTGAGAAAAAATGCTGTTGATTGAATTAAAGTCTATATTGTGGACTATCACTAACATAAGTGATTAATTCATGCGTATATTTTATTGACATAATTATTTGCTTATCGAAATAATAATTTATGTCAATAAAAATATACACGAATTAACCACTTATGTTAGTGACAGCCCGTAATATAGACTGTAATTAAATCAACAGCATTTTTTTCTCAGTGTGCATATAAATTTCGAGTATCTCAAACGTAATGAATATATGAGGAAAAAAGTACTTAATTTTTATTCCTTATATTTACATCATATTTGCATTTTTGTGTCTATAATAGGTGTGACATCCCTATTGGAAACTATTAGAAACTATATATTTCTTCACATAGAAAACTATTAAGGGTGGGGATTTGCCAACTCAAAATGCTCATTAAAAACTATGGAACTTTTTTTATAGTTCTCTAGTAAATTTTAAATAGGACATTAAATATGAAATGATATGTATTTTTATACATTTGCAGGAATATAGAGATATTGACAATATGGACTTCCGTTTTAAAGGAAAGAGTTCGGCTGAGAATCATGTGAAATTTACAGCTCGAGCTTTGCAAAATTATCCCATGAATGAAATTTTGTGCCCGCACATTGATTGGCGGCCGGACGTAATCGAGGAAATAATGAAATATTTGAAGCCGCAAAATGTTAGGATTTACATACTTGCAAAAGAATATGAAAATATAACTAATGAAATTGAATGTTGGTATGGCACTAAGTATAGGAAAGTGAAGGTATCCAAGGAAACAATGGACATGTGGAACTCCCCTGGCTTTAACGACGAACTAAAATTGCCTCCCAAGAATGAATTTATACCAACTACATTTGATCTCAAAGTACAACAAACTAACTTAATTAAGAATATTTTTCGTAATATTAATTTTTAATGACATTGTGATATTTAAAACCAAAATCTCCATGAAGCGTAAACTATACCGTAAAATTTGATATAAAATAGAATTTAATTAATGTTAGAGTAACTTAAAGTAAATTCAGTCTCTTTTACACATGAATAGTTTTTATGTAATAATTACGTATGAAGTGCGTTTGAATATATATTTCTGTACTAACTTTACAAAAATATATGCCGGTATTTAAAGATTAATTTATGAACAGAAATCTAAGAGATCATGATATAAATAAGAAAAATGCAATAATTTTTGCTCTCAAGTCTCACATTTTTGTATATGAAAAGTCATTTGGTCTATTGTATGCGATCTCATTATGTATATATTTGCAAATCATTGCATATATTAACGAGTGAAATTTTACAGTTTAAAGGATTTCCTTTTATTTTGGAGGATACATCATTTGTAAGACTTTGGTATAAACAGTACGGTGCATTTTCTGTGCCTACAGCAAGAATGAACTTTTATTTCTCCAGGCATGTATTAGATGATTGTGAAAGATACGTTGCTATTCTAATCAAACATGTAATATTGAAATATTTTTAAATGTAATTTTGAAATATTCTGGCAACTAAATGATTTTAATTATCAATTTACAATATGATGAGATTACTAGATATTAATGTGCATCCCAAATAATATTAATAAGTTGGTTATCATTGAAACCATTCAAAAAAAGCAAACTTAATTTTGCATTTATGATTATTAAAATATTGTTATTTAAATATAAGAATGAAATATAATCTCTTATAACAAAAAATATTTTCTATAATTATGCACAATGTTTGTTTTGTCTCTATTTTATAGCCCATTTGTCTTTATGGATCCCCTTAGTTACAATTCCACTTATTTGTTTGTTAAGCTGTTTCATGATTCTCTTAACGAAGATATATATGCTGCTGATTTAGCTGGTTTAGAAAGCAAACTTGATATTTTTAATTCTGGAATAACAGTGAGTACATATATAATAACAATAATAAATATAATGTATATTATTTAAATAAATTTGAATGTTTATTTGAATAAATTATTGTTCAATTTGTTATTAATATTAATAATGTTTAAACAAATGCTATTTCACACATATACATAAATTGTTTATTCAGAAATCATTTACTTCTAATTTGTTATTCGTAAATATGCTCAATTCTATTCCCATGTAATAATGTTTATGAATTGTTTTATAAAATATATATTCATAATTAAATAAAAGAAATATCAATTCTTTTAATAGCTCTCTTTAAATGGTTATAATGACAAACAACGTGTGATGTTAGAAAAAATCATGGATCGAATGATAAATTTTAAGGTTGATCCGAAGATGTTTGAAATCCGAAAGGAAGAAGTACGTAAATACAACCGATATTTTTAATTTAATTAAGTAACATATTTATATGTAGAATTATTACAGTATATCAGGAGCTTGAAAGATTTCGCTGCTGAAGAGCCTTATGAACAAGCTGTCTCTTATCTTACAGCCCTATTAGCAAAGCAACATTGGCTCAACGAAGAATTACTGGAAGCTACTACCTGTAAGCATGAGAGAGAACTTGTACTTTTTATAAAAAATTATTTTCTTTTCTCTCTCTTTCCTATATTTCTTTTAATTCTTAGCACAATTACAACACATATTAATGGCATATAATTAATATTTCTATGATGTGTTTATGATTATATTATTTATTATATAATAGATTTAAATGTCGAGGGATTCCAGCGATTTATACAACAGCTATTCAGTAAGGTGCATGTCGAATGCTTAATAAATGGTAATGTGACTAAAACGGAAGCTACAGATATACTTAAACTAATTGAGTCTAAGTTGACAACTGGAGTGCCCAATATAGTACCATTGTTAGAACAGCAACTAGTAATGCCCCGTGAAATTAAACTAGAAAATGGTAAGCATATAACATGATCAAATTTCATTTATAATAATTTGAAAAAATTAATATGTTTACGCCGATTGCACTTACTTTAATTTTCTCGCGGAACGAAAAGGAGATCAAACTCAAGAATTTAAAGTGGGCCTTAAAATGGCTTCGAAAAATGTACATCGAGAATATTAAAGGAAGAGTTGGAAATATTGTCTGTACCACATGATAGGGTAACTCCGGGAAATACATCGCGCTGGGATTTATTCCGCAGAAGTCAGAAAAAATAGAAGGTGTGGGGGTAATTTTCCCGCAAATACTCTATTGCATGCCTTTATGTTATATTAGTATTTTGTTTTTATTTCAGTTTCTTACTGTTAATATTAATGAAATTATTGTAAGTTGAATCGATTTGTCACTACTTTAAGTAGCGCCATCATAAATTATAATCAACATAAAATGATTACTGTAGGACGTGCAAAAGACTTAGTAGTTATTTCGTGATACAAACATTTTCTCCTGGTTGACAACGACGTGGACGACGATGCGATGACGTTTCTTAATATAAAAATTTCACATTCGTATTTTTCGTCGCAATATCTCCGCTCGTAAAGCACGTAGAGAAAAAATAAAAATACTTTCATTATATATCCCGACCGGTTGCAGTCGATCGAGCACACTTAGAACTTAATGGATTCAGCCGTTATTGAGATCCGATAATCTCGTACTGCCGCAACTCGCCGGCTCGCGTAAAGTAGCCACGGTAGTGGCGCTGCGCGTAGCTCAGCGCCGAGACACTACCAGTGTCTCCAGATCAATATAAAAAATTTTATTATTTCTATTTTCTAACAGTTTCGTATAAATGCTAGGTTTATTGTAGAAAAAAATATAAAAATATGAAAATGAACAACCTAATCTATTTCAATATAAAAAAGAAGTATGTGGAAGTAACTGAAAATTGTTTGTTATTGAAGTCATTTTTTATCTATAATAAAATTATTATCTTAGAAATTAGTTTAAATCTTAAGTTAATATTGTTTGTATGATGTAGTATGCAACAGTTTGTAACAATATGTAATACGTGTTTACAGGTTGCCATTTTCTTTTTGAAGCAGAAAATAATTTTCATAAAAATTCTTGTACAGTAGTATATTATCCAACTGGTTTACAATCAACAGAGTCGAATATGCTCTTAGAACTCTTAGTACAAATTATTAAGGGACCTTGTTACGATACCTTTAGAACTAAGGAGCAATTAGGGTATTCAGCATTTAGTGATCGACGTGAATCGAATGCAACACAAGGCTTACGAATCAGTGTAATTAGTGATAAACACCCGCAATATGTCGAAAAACGAATCAATTTATTTTTAGACTCCATGTTGGCAAGTATAATAATATCTTACATAGTAAAAAATATTGTGTATTATTTTTTGGAATTCACTTATATTCTCGTTAACCGTTTGTGATGAATTTTTTAGTATATTCGAGTGTTAATTTAACATAATTATTATGAAATTTGAAAATTTTGTGTTAAGTTGATATTCAATGTTTCTTAGTATCAAAATGACATAATTTATGAATAAGTGAACAAGTAATATAAAAACTATGTGTTTGAAAACGTAAATTACAAGATGGTTGAATGAAACAGTTGTAAATTTAATATATCATATTATAAATGTCAATTATACTAAAAAAATAAACTTTTGTTTGCAAACTGTGTCAGTATTACCTTTTTTGTGGTCGTTTTTTAATAGATCATATCCGTTTTGTTTTCGAACACACATTCATTTTATGTTAAATTTTCACACAAAAATTTGAGTGAACTGTTTGTGACATATGACATGTGTCGTATTTGATAATCCATTCGATTCATAAATTTTCCAATAGTGCATATTATATAATAATAATACATATTAATTCATTGATTAATGGAAATACATTTTCTTTTTTTACATTTATCAAACATTTTATAATATTATAATCAAATGTATTACTCCATTTTTATGTGATGATACAAGGCTGTACTTTTATTAAAGTTAATATTACTAATAATTACATTCCAGAATCACATCTCTACTATGACAGAAGAGCAATTTGAAGAAAACAAGAAAGCTTTAGTTACATTCTATAGTGATAATTTAACTTGGTATTGGAATGAGATTCTGACCCAACAATATAACTTCGATCGAGAAGATATTGAAGTGGCTTACTTAAAGACGATATCACGGCAGCAGTTACTTAATTTCTTTAAGGTAATCAATTTACTCTTATATCCAAAATGTATCATTTAATGTTATTCCGAAAGGAAAAGTTTTTATCGTGAGAATAGAAAATATGAAACGATTTTTTATGAGATATAATTTTTGAAAAAAGTAACTTTAGTAATTGAAAAATTAATATATAATAAATCTGTCATATAAAATCTCCTAGGAAAATGTACATGATAAAGATCGACGTAAACTGTCGGTACATGTCATATCCACGATGTCATCGGAAAAGAGCTCACCCGATAATACGATCGAAAAAACTGCCGATTTATCAACTGAAGAAGAAGTTAAGAAAATTGACCATATTTTGTCATTTAAAAATAGTCAATCTTTTTATCCTCTAATTAACCCGCATAAAAAATATTTTCTCAGGAAAAGCGTACGCTCTCATAAAAAAAGTGACAAGGTAATAGTGAATTAAGAGAATGAATTTATTTACGCATAATTTTAGAAAACACTTGACGCATTATTTTAGAGGAATTAATAAATCATTTGCTTTATTTAAAGTGGTTCTTTAATAAACTCGCTCAGCAGCGAAAAGAGAGTTTTCAGAAATATCTTAGAAATAATCTTCCAATTGCCTCTCCTGAATTCAAACAAAAAAAAAGAATCATCAAGAGAAATTTAAAATGCCTATTACTGTCGAAGCTGGATCTTCGTTGCTTAAATAATTCAATCTTGAATTACTTTATTATAATATATACTATACATGTACTTGCATATATACCATATTGTAATCTTTTTCAAACTGCGCGCCGAATTATTTTTCCGGACTAAATAAACGCAATTAAAACTACTATAATAACCACGAATTAAATTCGGCGCGCAGTTTGAAAAAGACTACGATATGATATACATGCAAGTACATATATAGTATATATTAGTAATTCAAGATTGAATTATTTAAGCAATAAAGATCCAGCTTCGACCATAATAGGCATTTTAAACTTCTAGTCTTGATTGTGCTTCTCACATATATGGTCTAAAATAAAGATATTGTTTAAAAAAAAGAAACCAAAACCAGTGCGATTGAGCGTCGGCGTGGTAATTAGTGCGCAAAATTAATTCTTGAACTTTTATTTCAATAATTTTTCAACGTTTTGACTCTGATTGGAATCTTCTTCAGCAATACAAGCATTAAAATTTTTTCCTTTGCATGCTAAGGAGTCACAATGCTGGTGTTGTATGTACATTCTATTAAAACATTAAATTACATAGTATAAAAAATATTTATTAATAATAAGAAAAACTAATGACAGATCATGATTCACTCCAAACACGAAAGGAAGTCGTCTTAAAACATTGGATCAAATAATGATAAGATATCGATTAACATTTCAAATTAATTGCAAATTGAAAAAATCTTATTGAACGCATGTTAATGATAGCTCGTGTGAGGGAACCCTGCTAAAAATTCCAGTTATGTCCAAAAAAGTACATACTCTTACATTAGGATAGACATAGACAAATCAGTCTTTAACTGGTATAAAGTTTATCTAAGTAAATATTAAATCTGGTTATATAATACATATAATTATTGACGTTGCATAGCATTTCTTTATCAAAACCCTTACCGACTTTAATCATTTCACTACTCTTATTTATGTTGCTACTCTTATTCATGTCACTGCTCTCACTTATTTCGTTACTTTTGCGTATAAGCTTATGTTTTGCTCTGATAAACTAATTTTTGATGATTTTCTGGGCATCTGCTTTATTATTCAGCACTTTTTTAATCGTAATTTCTGCAAAATAAAGGGCAAAGCAAGATAAGCAAGTGATTTCTGCTCCCAGCCGGATCCGGTCGAGATTTTAATTATAAGTCACCACTGATGTGTGTGTTATTTCCTCAAAAGCATATATCTCAAATATGACCTTATGGGAATTATGGAAGTATGAAGGGAAAAAAAAATTTTTTTTTCTCGATAACGGCTTGACCGATTTTGATGGAAAAAAATATGTTATAAGGCTCAGTGGGAGAATGTTTAAAAAAAATTAGGGAACAATTTTGTCAAATAGAAATTGTTAAAAAAAATTTGTTAAATTTTTCTCGAATTTTTTTTTGTGAGGTGCGATTGAGACACTACCTTTATATTTTAACAAAAAAAGCTTTGAATACTTTAGTATAACATAAAAAATCCTCAAAACGATTAATGCGATTGAGACACTACATTTATATTTTAACAAAAAAAGCTTTGAATACTTTAGTATAACATAAAAAATCCTCAAAACGATTGGAAGGGTAGCACGTAGTTAAACAAATTAAAATTCTCGATGGCGCGCGCGCGCGGTGCTCCGATCGCGGTATGGTCGCGCGCTACGTCGGGAGCTTGTGCGAAACATTGTTTTGTGGGCTCATTTCTTTCTTTAACACAATGTATCCACAATTCTAGGTTTATAAATACAACTTTATGTTAAATGTCGTGGTATTTTATATTTTATAGTAGAACTCGAAACGAATTGCATATTTCGGTCGATTTTTAGCTCGTCTCTGCTTACCGACATTCCCCTTACTCCGAGCTCCCGTAAGTAGTCCAATTGTCGATCGATATTCTAGATTGACACTCAGGATGACATTCGTACACGCACGAGCAGGAGTCTAGTATATTGGTGTGTAACAACAACCAATTAGTAAATAGAGAAGGGACGTTTATCCTTTTATCTTCGTCTTATTCTACTCGCTAGCCCGACTACTGCTATCAGTTCATTCTATACGTCGATGGGGATCTCGCGTTGCGTGTTCACTTAGCGCGAAATACTATCGTTTCTTGATAGCGGTACGAGGAACTTCAAACTAAAAATCGGCAAATCGTCCCGAGGTCTGTCCTATATCATCCAACTGAAATGACGAATTGGCTGAAGTCAAAATAAATCATTTTATTGGCTATTATTATTTAAGATTCCTTTATTCTATCCTAAATAGTATATACTATATCTCTTTGTTATGCCCTGTGATTTTTTTTCAAACGCATTCTTTGTAGCTTAAAATACTTGCTTTCGTTTATTTTTGTCATACTTGATTTGATATATTTGTCGTAGTAAAGATGTATAAACTATTGAAAAATATTTCAAAAATAAAAAATTAATATAACAAATCTATCATATAAAATCTCCTAGGAAAATGTACATAGTAAGGTTCGACGTAAATTGTCGATACATGTGATATCCACTGTGTCATTGGAAAAGGATTCACCTGATGCAATCGAAAAAACTGTTGATTTCAGTTGATGAAGAAGATCGATGATATTTTGATATTTAAATGTAGTCAATCTATGTATCCTCTATTTCAAGCTTGAAACAATATTTTCTGAAGAATAGCGTACGCTCTTCTAAGTTATAAAAAAAGTGACGAGGTAATAGTGAATTAATCGAATGAATTTACTTACGCATAATTTTAGAAAAAACTTGACGCATTATTTTAGAGAAATTAATAAACCACTTGCCGTATTTAAGATGGTTTTTTAATAAACTCATACTGCACCTAAAGTTTTCGGAAATATCTTCTACAACGGACACTTTCCCAAATTCAAACAAAAAAAAAGAATCCCAAACCAGGACGATTGAGAGTTGGCGTTGTAATGTTTTAAGTCGACTTCCTTTCGTATGTCGAGTGTATCATCATTTATTAGTTTTTCTTCTTATTAATAAATATTTCTTATACTATGTAGTTTAATGTTTTTACAGAATGTACAACATTAACAAATTTAATTGTGAATTCTCTTTAGACATGCAAAGGAATAAATTTTAATGCTTGTATTGCTGAAGAAGATTCCAAAGAGAGTCGAAACGTTCAAATATTGTCGGAATAAAAGTTCAAGAATTAATTTTGCGTGCTAATTACCACGCCGACTCTCAATCGCTCTGGTTTTGGATTTTTTTTTATCTCAGAAATATTTCAACTAAAAAGTGAAACATTTTATAAATGTTGTAAAATATCTTTGCAACCTTTCTGAAACAGCTCTGGAATAATAAAATGTCCGCGATTCTTGCATATGAAACCTTGTTGGAAGATAGCTGAATAGTTACCGAAAGGATCTACAATTTTTTTGAAATATTATCAAAAAGGTTTCAGCTATTTTCTAGTACTTAAAAAATGATATTTAAATATATATACATTTAATTGTGTGTGTCTGATACTTAAATAATATTTAAATTTATTATGTCAACATAATAAATTTTTGTGTTTAAGTATCAATTAAACATTTGCAAAATCGAACATATGCATTGAATTTATACAACACATCCCAGATAACACAACTACGATTACGCGGAAGCCGATAGCATGCCATTTTCGAAACGCTATTAAGGTTTAAGGGCGCGTCTCGGTCGGACTTTCGAGATTTAACGCGAATAAAGGCGCTCTAGGCACTTAAAATTACCTCGGACGTTAAAACTGTAACAAATTAGTCGTCGGCGCGGCTGTACGACGTCGTTACACCGGCCTGTCCGCCTATCATTATTCTCCCTTTCATCGTTTAGTCGCCGCTTAAGTTTTGTGCTCGCCACTAAGGACGGACGCGCCTTCCTCTTGTCGGTGGCCGACCTGCATCCAAATGATTTTCAGAGTGCATTGCAAGAGTGAACAGTCGCTTTAGGCCGCGGAAAGATCAGTGCCAACTGTAAAATCAGACCATGTCATTTAACTCTTAACTACTTTGTGCTGAAATAATGTTACATATTTGTGTGATCTCTTATGGACCGGAATCTCGCTGAATCCGTTAAGACTTAATGTGCCTAGGAACAAGCAACGAGAATTTTTTGCGGGCGTTGTAGACGCTGACTCGTTATACTTTATTGACGGTAAAATAGTGAAATATATTAAGAATGTTATGTTTTATACAATCTTAAACGTCATAAAATTTGTATTAATAAATGAGCTACACTTTTGGCAATTAGCTCAAATTTGATAACTTCACGTAGAAATAATGCAAAATTCTCTTGTGAATGTCTTTCTTAATATAACACAGATCTATATAGTATTTTCTTTAACTGACGATTTATGCAGTAAGTTTTATTTTTGCTAAGCCGAGAGAAGTTGGAACACGCGATTGTATATCATGAATTGCACAATGGTGACATAGCTTCTTTAGCTTCTTTATAATAGACTGATTACGAGAATATATTTTTTGTTATAATAAAAAGATTTGATAATATATTAAACTTTTTAGATTTTATTCTTATATTTTGATAAATAGTAAGTATCTTAAAATATCTTATCTCTCCGCTATTATTATTTGTTTATAATAGATTTGATCTAGATCTACAAAATTTGCAACAATCATCGTGTTATTGCAGGATATGGCGAAACTAGTTGTATCAGTGTGGTCTTTCGTTACCGCAACAGAGATCGTTAGAATGAAACGACTAAATTGGCCGGCTACCGTTTGGAGATTTCCTCAATCATTTCATCAACTGTCATCATCAAGCTTGTCGTACTCTCATGGACCAGATCAATTCTACGCGATCTCATCGAGTTGTCGCGTTAGGGACTAAATTACGTTGTGAGGTGCAATTTTTAATATACAATTGTTTGTTCTAACTTCTCTCAGTCTAACAAAAAAAGTACTATACAGATCACAAAAAATATAAAAAATTCTTAGAGTACCAAACACATGTACAAAAATACATTTTAATTGATAAAATATTGCAATAATTGCATACATATCTTTTTAAGTATTTTAATTATTTTTATCTCTCTCAAATTACTAACTAGATGTTATCTTATTCTATAAACAGATATTTATATAAATTTAATCAACATTTGACTGTGTGTTATTCATATTTATAAAGATTTTATTATTCTTAAATTATTATTTGTTTGTGGTAAAAATTGCAATTTTATTTAATCAATTAAGAATAGTTTTAAGTACTTAAGAAATTTTTAAGTATTTAAGACATTAAAGAACCAATATAAACTATATTAAGATATTTAAAAAAAACGATAAAATGTTAAAATAAAACATTAAATTATTATTAAGCTCAATGTCGAAATATTTGAAATCAGCTGGGACAATCTTCCTTAAGTTTCTTTCTCAAGCTACATTATAATTTTTCAGTTATATTAGAATATTGTCACTCGTTCGGTTTTTTATGTGACAAATACGGTAAACCAGACATCAGATTTACTTTATGAAACTTTCGTAAATTTCAAACGACCGATTTCGAAATATCGTCGCCGAACGTTCGACTTTCGTGAATAGCAAGATGATTTCGTGTTTGAAACGGGCAGCTCTCGCTCATTAATCTAATCGATAAAATCGCAAAGTAATCGATAGCCGCTCGCAGTCACGTCGCAATCGCGGACTCTAATACACACAAACGTCTTTAAGCGTAAGTAACTGTTACTTATGGTGTCGCTTACAACCAGTGGCGTAGAGGATGTGGTCTTGATTGCGTCTTTTCCATATATAGAATGATTCGAAAGGCAAGATCAACTAGCAAGGTTATTAACAACGCGCATAAAATCATGTATTGACTTTTCGATGGTGTGTTCTAATTTCACTAACAGCAACGTATACTAATCAAAGAATTTGAGAGAAATTATTACTTACTGTCTCCTATAAACAGAATAATTTAAATGCGCGTAAATTAGATTTTTTTTGTCCAAAAGACGAAGAACATCTTTTATTGCCTCGTAGAATTATTTTTCCAAAATAATCGCATAATTTACACAAGACTGTACGTTACGATATCGCAATAACCAGCCATCTGGTCGATTATATTATTATTCCCACGACAATATTCAATCTGAGTCAATGAGGCTTCGTGATGTTTCGCAAAAGAAAACACTTCGCCTTTGACACTTTGCGCAATCACAGCGTGATTGTAGAAACGAAGCTCAGAGACGGATATTAACACCCTCGATATTCCCGACAAGAATTCCAAGTCTTCGATTCAGCGCATGCTGATTGATCTTTCGATTGGTTTAATAGTCTGCACTGCGAAATCGGTCGTGATTTCTATCACTTCGCTTGGATATCTACAAATCGTAATTTTATAGTGCGAAAAATGATGTATAATGGGATCAGAAATTGCAATTGGATGTAATATATCCTTTCTCCCTTTACGATTCTTATTTTTAAGACATATTTTTTGTTTGCAATGAAATTCGAAAATATATTTTGAATTACTTCTTAAACACCTTTTTGGCGTGATATATCCATTTTTTTTCCAAAATTGATAATTTTATTATTTTGAAAGGCTAATCTACCCGACAGATTTGTACACTTAAGGATACCCTTTCTTTTGGCGTAAAGAACAACGTTAAAATGAGCGAATAATTTTTAAATATTAACGATAAAAAGACCTGAGTATGCCTTATATCCAAGAGTTTGAAGTTATATTTTTTTAGTTGTGTTAAATTTTTTTGCTTTAATCTCCTTAATCTAAAGTTTCTAGTTTTTGGAATACTATATAAGAAACTTTTTACTTTAATTTTTCTAACAAATGCAAATTAAAAAGAAATAATTTTCCAAAATTTTTGTTTTCTATTTTATTGTGACTTTTTTTAATCAATGAAGATATATTTACTTGTTACCGTGATATTCCTTAATATTTAGCGTTTCGATTAAAAAACAAATTGTTATAATACGTTCATTTTTATGACGATTATATGCAATCAAAATTGTGTCGAGTATGCCGTACTGAGTACGTTGTCCTCATGAGAAACTAAATGGCGTTTAAGTGTTAATATAAGACTTCGCAAGTAAACGATTACTATAAAAGCACAGAATCCCGTTTATTACCGCCACATACAGCATTACGTGTCACTTTTTTATTTAAAAATATTTGAGATTAGAATCTACTCGATCATCGCGGGAAATCGCTTATGGCGGAAATCGATAAGAAGCAAAATGTAAGATTTTCCTGGAAAAGAGAGTATAACGTCTAATTCTGTTGTATCATGTCCGCGAACTGATCCATGCGGCTTTCGATGATTACGTTGTAGCGATGATTAACGAGTGGCTTTCGGTCCGCGTGTATCTCATTAATCGTCCAGCATGCACGGAAGTTAAGAACTTACCGGTCATTACCGGAGGACATAGTAACCAAGTGGCTAATGCGGAATCCTTGAGGTGATTAATGTCGCGGTCGTGCTATTACCCGCTACGATGATGGAGATGCACTCTTGCATGTGCAATGTGGACCTCCGCGCGCGATGGCACACTTTCTTGTTATGAGACTGCATTAGCCACCTCGTTGCTTTATTCCTTTGCCATTATTTGCATAGTTAGAAGGAGATTGAGGATGATACAAGCGCTTGTGAAAATACTAATATCAAGAAATAAATCTTCACCAATAAAGAACTATAACCGTTGTGTATTTATATGTCGCGAATTAAAGATTTATTTGTCAGCGTCGGTGCGAATACTTAAATAATTTTTGAAACGATACTGTTTTTACAGACAGCAAAGAAAAATCAGTTTCGCGTAAATTACTAATTCGTAAAAATACGAATCCGCCGTACGGAATAATAATACAGTAGGACGATTCTGATCGAATCGTGATCGAAGGACGAATGTTTTACTCCTCAATCCACGTCGGACAAGCGGCATTACTTTTGTTTGACTGTTGGCGATCATGGCAACGGAAGTTGAAGAAGCGGCAGCAAGTTTTTGTAGGATTGTTCGACGCATAATAAGTGGAAAGTATTCCTCGAAGCTCGGCCGAAGCTCGATCATTGAATGATTCTGCTCGCGAATGTCACAGGGTCGTTTTGTTGGTCGCGCAGAGAGATCGCATGCAATAAATTTCCGTCGGTGTGAAAATTCCGCGATCCTAGAAGCACGACGGACTATCCACGTGGGCACACGTGATCCTATCGGAAGTCCATTAAGTCTAGTCGGCGTGTGGGCACGCGTATGCTCACCCACGCGCGTGCATTCGCCCGAGCGAGGTGTTCGTGTGCGATCTTCGTCGATTTCGCGATGCTACACAATAATAGTATAAGATAGAAATTAAAGTTAGAGATTTCACACGTTTTTATATTCTTGATAATGCTGCCAAAGGTCAAACTTTCTCTCCAATTAAATTTATTTTAGATAAATAATAAAGTCTTGATATAAACAATTCTACAATGGGAAAAGAGTCTGATTGGATTAACTGAAATTCTGGTTGAAAATTGATAAATGAATTTTCTGATTGAATTGTTATAATTTACTTGATATTATAGTTTTTAATGGACACGTGCAAAACTTGGTAGGTAGTTGAAAATAAAAATACTACATAATATTCATAATATTAATTGTTATATTAAATAGTAACAACGCTTAAATAGTACACGCGGAAAAAGAATCCGATTAGAATAATTGAAATTCTGGTTGAAAATAGATAAATGAGAGTTTTCTGGTTAAATCTGTTGTAATTTATTTAACGTTATAATTTTTAATAGACACATGCAAAACTTTACAGACAGTCGAAAGTAAAAATAATATTCATAATATTGTTATATTAAATACGCACATAAACTACTGTAAATATCTATTATCTTTGAGAATGCAAAACTGCATTATTTAGCAATTATTGAAGAAATTACAACCTATGGTCATCTTTTCCATATTGCTATAATTACCCTACGTATTGTATCATTTCGTGAGTGTCGCTACATTTAAGTTTCATAATATTGAAACATATGTATTCATGCCTCTGTACATTATATCATAATTTTGACATAAATCACATGACTATCTCATCTTGGTTATTCATCGTTCGATTACTACGGGATTTCATGCTTATCGCATTGCAAAGCAAATGCATTTGTTCTGACTGATGCTTTCAATTCTCTCCTCCGTCACTGCGTACTTTGATTAGATGTCAGTTGTATCGTCTATCAGTTTCCGCACTTTGCTCCTCGATAAGACCGTTTTGCACTATTTCGCGCGGCTACTCGCCACCAATGACAACGAACATCGAGTACCGCTCGGCTCAAGGCTTAACGCACTGCTAGATATTAATCGTAGACAGTGAATTATTGACGAATGATCATAACATATCGCGGGCAACGCGTGGATGAAAGGCCAGATTGTTGACGCCCGTTGTTGCGACTGTTTTCTAGGTTCCGACGAAGTCACGTGTCAAATGTGTGCGATTCGGTTGGAATGCGGGCGAATTAATGGTGATAGATTCTTCGGCGATGAGTACACATGTTTGTCCCAATTTTGTACAAACTAGAGAATTTCTAGCTTCGAAAATTCTTGGAATACTTGTCGCGTTACGATCTCGCTATTTGCCGGATTAATCTGTTTTTTTTTCTCCGGCGTTAAACGACATCACCCAGTTTCATCGCGTGTTACGAGAAGATTAAAATCATTGCGTGACTAAATGGATGGTACAGTTTATACAGTAAGAAATAGGTCATAACGATTCTGTAGATTACACGAAAATCTTCGAATTTCCTGACTTGGTAATGTTATGTTTAGTTATTACCCTCAATGAGCGACATTCAGTCGCCTTCGGACAGGTTCCTTACAACTCATAAAGAGTTCGCTGGCCCC